CCAAACTAATCCTCATTAATTGACTAAACATTGTAGGCTACCAACCATTGTAGGTGCCAAACTAATCCTCATTAATTGACTATTGCTAACATCATGTATTATAAACTATATGAACCATGGTTATATTATATAACACATGACGCAATTAAGAGGGGCTAGTGAGCAATGAACTCTTGCAAAACTGTATTAAACATCATAAGAAAGAAAAAGTAAATATATGTACACTTTCTCTTCGTAGTTGTTGAGGAGCTTACGAATTTATTGGCGCTAAACATCCAATTTTTAATGTCACATTCAGGAGCTCAAAGTAGCTTTCAGCCGCATAAGTAAAATGCAGTATGCATAACTCTAAGGTAAGTTGGTAAAATTGATAATATACAACTTTTGTTCTGATATTTTCTTGCCTCATTTTAATTTGTGAGAGAGAAATCTGTGAGAGAGAGTGAAAAGAGCTGCACAAGAAAACTTCTCCCTCTTAAATTTGATTCAGTGTTTGAAAGATTTTCAAACTTCCTCATTGCCAGCTATTTATATACATAAGAAAATATACCAAAGAAAAAATACCCAAGTTGATCCCTTCCAACAAGGCAACAAGTTGACATGGAGACTTCCTTGTTTAGATGTTTCTCATCTATCATTACAGAATCTCCGATTTCCATCACCCATTTATTAGCTGCAACTGTCTTGATCATTGCAGTTATCTATTTTCTGTTCAGAAGAATGCAACCTTATGGAAGCCAAATTCATATTCATATCCAAATTCCTAAATGTTATCAGAATCAGTTTGATTTTTAGCTACTCGCCAGAGCCAAGCAAAGCAATATCAGAACCCTTAGATTATTTTTGCTTATGTATCAGAACCCTTACATCAGTTTAGCTTATATTTCTCTGAACCCTTATTATATCAGAACCTTTAGATCAGTTTGGCTTAGTCCAAGCTTCCTCAATTTACTGGACATTGCATGTCTTGAGCTCAGATAATTTCTTTCACTGAAATATATTGGAGTGCTTTGTTACTTCACGCAAATTGGAGGTTGTCAAGTTATACAAGGCCTCTTAGTTGTCTGCACATAAAAACTTTGTGATCAAACAAACTAGACATTGACAGAACGCAACCATCAACAGAAGAAAGATAGACAATTAGGCACTTAGGAGGGTACAATCTTAATCTTATCATCACAAAGTTTTAGCTTGTTTCTGCATAAAATCTCACCTTTGGCCATGATTGAAAAACACACTCAACATAAAAAAATATATATATATAAAAGAACATATGCGGACGCAACGAAGAGTTGCATAAAGCATCTCTGTTGATCAAAACTGATTGAACATTGGAAATATTTTCAAACGTGCTCATTGGCTGCTTAAATTAAATGATAAGCAAAAATATCAAAGCAAACTCCTAAGGAAATCCAGTCCAAGAACTTCACATGGAGACTTCATTGCTTAGGTCTTTCTCATTTCTCGCTGCAGAAATATCTCCAATCTTCCTCATCAATTTCTTAGCTACAACTGTTTTGGTCATTGCCGCGGCTCTCTATTTTCATTTCAGATCCAAGAGTATATACCTTATAGACTTCACCTGCTATCTGCCTCCTGATAGCTTGCGCGTTCCAACATCGAATTTCATCGAGCACATTGAAATATCTGGAATGCATGACAGAGAAAGTGTCGATTTTCAAACGAAGGTGTTGGAAAGATCAGGGATTGGAGCAGAGAGTTGCATGCCTATTACAGTGCATGAGATCCCACCTTATTCCTCTTTAAAAGCTACTAGAAATGAAACTGAAACGGTTCTCTTCACTATTGTCAAAGACCTCCTTTCCAAGCACAAAATAAATCCGAAAAGCATCGACATTCTTGTGTCAAACTGTAGCCTTTTCTCCCCCACACCGTCCATTACATCTATGGTCATAAACAAGTTTGGATTCCGAAGCAACATAAAGAGCATCAACCTCAGTGGAATGGGTTGCAGTGCCGGAATCTTGTCAATAAGTTTGGCAAAAGATCTTTTAAAAGTTCACAAGAACTGCTTGGCCTTAGTTCTCAGCATGGAAGCTGTGACTCCCAATGGCTATGGGGGTAGAATGAAATCCATGCTTCTTCCCAACATTTTGTTTCGGATGGGAGGAGCTGCTATCCTATTATCGAACAGGAAGCAAGAGAAGCGAATAGCTAAGTATGAGCTCCAGCATCTTGTCCGAACACACATTGGTTCGGATGATGAGGCGTACCAATCTGTTTTCCAGCAGCCCGATGAAGCAGGGCATGTTGGGGTCTTGTTATCACGAGCACTTTTACGTGTGGCAACAAAAGCTCTAAGAAGTAACATGTCAGAGTTGGGGCCACTTGTGCTACCATATTCGGTGCAGCTCCGCTATGCATGGTCAGTGATCTGCAAGAAACTTTGGTTTCTACCAAGCGAAAAGGGAATTTATGTGCCGAATTTCAAGAAGGCGATTGAGCATTTCTGTATACATGCTGGTGGAAGGGCAGTGATTGATGGCATAGAAGACAGTCTGAAGCTGCACAAGGAGGATGGAGAAGCTTCAAGGATGACATTACACAGATTTGGCAATACTTCATCTTCTTCAATTTGGTATGAGCTCTGCTATTTGGAGGCAAAAGGAAGGTTGAAGAAAGGAAACCGAGTTTGGCAAATTGCCTTTGGAAGTGGCTTCAAGTGTAACAGCGCAATTTGGAAGTGCATTTCAGATATTGATCCAACAAAAAGAAATGCATGGTCTGATAGCATCCATTTCTATCCTACTCAGACTGACACCCTTAACTAAGATTTTCTGAATTGCTGTTGTAATTTTATTTAACCTTCGTTGTATTGTATCCATTTTCAATCCAAGAAAAGTTTCATATTTTTCCTGCTTCGCATCGATTCCATATCCAACATTGTCTTTCTGGTTTACTGGTTTAAAGTTCTTAATTAGATCTTCAAATGCTCGTACCATATCATTAACTTTTATAATTGCACAACAGGCGATTTTTTTCATTCCCATCCATCACAGGGTTTTAACTTTTAGAATCAACAAATAGACCAAAAACAAGCAAAATTGGTGATAACAATATGATTTTGCAGAAGCCATTAATCTAGTGCAATGAAATAATTCAAGTACTCAAAACTTCTCTAGAAGCAAAGGGATGCCGTAGCGAAGCTAAACTGAGAGAGCCAAAATCGCTACCCTTTACAAATCAATGTTACTTGACTCACATGTTAATGCCTTCCCTCCCCCAACCCTTTTTAGATAAGCAATGGATTTAATTTCCAATTAATTGATGGTGGGGAAAACTATGATGGGAAGATTCTTTTAAGGTCCCTTGTTTTAAGTTCTGGGCATTTTTCCACGGCCAATATTATGGTGCGATTGGTTGTTTCATGCAAAATTGGAGTTCTCAAGTGAGGAGGTTTCATCTTATGCACATGAAAACGTTGTGACTGAACAAACTAGAGATTGCCTTTACCCATGAAATGCAACTATCCAGAGAAAACGATTGGCAGTTAACTTGGAGACTTTAGAGTTTGATTTTTGTAGGATAAGTTGGAGCATCTCTAATAGAAGTCGAAAAAACGCAACTCTAACCGTGCTCCCTATTTAGCTCCTAAAATAGGACACCTCTAGGATCTCCTAGATATGAAGAAAGAGAAAGAAAATCCTAATGGCTTCTTATAATTAATTATCATTATTTTAACATTATTAACTTTAATCATATTGGCTCCTAGTCATTATAACTCCTAAACTAGGAGGATTCGGAGGATAAAGGAGCTCCAAAAATAACCTTTTAGTCGTTTTGTCTAATCTTTAACTTCAAAATAGGGAGCATGATTGAAGATGCTCCCTAAAAAGTAAGAAAATATGCAAATTCTAATGACGCCATTATCTTCTATACACTAAATAAAAGGTTGTTTGAGGTTATGATTTTATTAAATATGAAATGCTGCTTTTTATCTCCCAGAGTTCTTTTCAACAGCACAAGGAAAATGCACTCTACATGAATCTAGGTGAGTGCTTAGTGATGAAATGTTGTTGTGACAGTTTCTTGAGTCGAATTGTGTGTCTTGATCATATTGCTAAATTTTGATTACACATTAGAAAGTTACTCAAACTTTCTTTCCTCGTAATATATATGCAGAAATATCAAATCAAACTCCTAGTTAACCCTGCCCAACAAGTTGACATGGAGACTGCACTGCTTAGATCCTTTTCATCTATCATTCCTGAATCTCCAATCTCCCTCACCCATTTCTTAGCTGCAACTGTTCTGATTATTGTGGTTCTCTGTTTTACATTCAGACCTAAGAGTACATACCTTATTGACTTCACCTGCTATCTGCCTCCAGAAAGCTTGCGGATTGCGAAAGAAAGCTACATCGAACACATTGAAATGAGTAAACTCTACGACAAAGAAACCTACAGTTTCCAAGTGAAGGTATTAGAAAGATCAGGAATTGGAGAGGAGAGTTGCGTGCCTATTGCACTGCATGAGCTCCCTCCTCATTCTTCTTTGCACGCTGCTAGAAAAGAAACTGAAATGGTTCTCTTCTCAGTCATCAAAGACCTTCTTTCCAAGCACAAAATAAATCCTAAAAGCATCGACATTCTTGTGTCCAACTGTAGCCTTTTCTGCCCTACCCCGTCCATTACATCTATGGTCATAAACAAGTTTGGATTCCGAAGCAACATAAAGAGCGTCAACCTCAGTGGAATGGGTTGCAGTGCTGGAATCTTGTCTATAAGTTTGGCTAAAGATCTGCTAAAAGTTCACCAGAACTCCTTGGCTTTAGTTCTCAGCATGGAAGCTGTGACTCCTAATGGTTATATGGGTACCAAAAAATCCATGCTTCTTCCAAACCTTTTGTTTCGGATGGGAGGAGCTGCTATTCTATTATCCAGCAGGAAAAGGGACAAGCGAACAGCTAAGTACGAGCTCCAGCACATTGTCCGAACCCACATTGGTTCAGATGATGAAGCATACCAATCCATCTTCCAGCAACTCGATGAAGTTGGACATGTAGGGGTCTCACTGTCACGGGCTCTTATACCTGTGGCAACAAAAGCTCTCAGAACTAACATATCCAAGTTGGGACCACTAGTGCTACCATATTCTGAGCAGCTACGATATGTATGGTCAATCATCCACAAAAAAGTCTTGTTATTACCAAGCCAGAAGAAAATTTATGCACCAAATTTCAAAAGGGCTCTCCAGCATTTCTGTATACACGCTGGTGGAAGGGCAGTGATTGATGGAATAGTAGATAGTCTCAGGCTGGACAAGGAAGACGGAGAAGCTTCAAGGATGACATTACATAGATTTGGTAATACTTCATCTTCTTCCATTTGGTATGAACTCTGCTATTTGGAGGCAAAAGGAAGAATGAAGAAAGGAAATCAGGTTTGCCAAATTGCCTTTGGAAGTGGCTTCAAGTGTAACAGCGCAATTTGGAAATGCATTTCGGATATTGATCCAACAGAAAGAAATGCATGGTCAGACAGAACCTACTTGTATCCAATTGAAGAGGTCCCAAAATAAACCTTTGAGATCCAAAGTATTGTAACCATATATGATCTCTACGATATAGTTTGATAATAAACATAATTTTTAATTCTTAAAACCTGTCTGCCCTGCTCAAAAGGTGTTCATTAGCAACCAGTCCTGTCTTCAACAAGGTTGGGAGAGAGGAGCCAATGATGGCAAAATCGTGACCACGAGTGTCCAACATGCACAAACTCTATACCCACTGTATCACCTTATTTAAGATTATTAACAGGGTTGTAAGGAGAAAAAAGAAAAAGGAAAAAATCCACACATGGACAACTGATTTGTTATATTCACTACAGCTCATTTGGTGGTCAAAGTTTTACTAATTGCCACTAAGAGAAAAACGGGTAAATTTATAGTCTATATAGTCCCCTCAGTAGGAAGAAGAGGAAAAGAAATTTGGGGACAGTAAGTTTCTTATAGTCTCCCTGTAACCCCATTCAGTAGTCAAAGCTATACTTATATCCACTAATAAAAATTGGGTAAATATATATAGATTATGACTGAATTACAGCATCTGGTTACATGCAAGAAAGTTTATACAGTTAATATTCAATTTGTGTACTGTACAGAGGGTCAGACAAACCAGTCAAAGAAGCATCAGCTGTAATACGCCAAGCAACTGGCTCATATTTGTGAAGACAAGTTATACTTGACAGTGCCAAGTGTTGACCTCAACCATCAAATTGCACTGTTTTTCTCACAAAATGTTGAGCTATGATAGAAGATACCTGGAATTTCCATGGATGTCAAACTAAGTTATCCTTCTTACGAGATTTTGAAGCTTTTGAAATCATATGTTGCTTCGACAGTACATCCGCAATGTGTTGGCGACCAAATAAGTGAGAGTTTTTCAGTATTAGGTTTCTTGTAGCTGAATCAACAACATAACCTTGTCCTGGCATCCACAGTAGCATTTGAATAAGCAATTCCTTTTTCTCAGGGAGTGCGATATAGCGTGATATGGCCATCTGAAATAGTCCCTGTGGAATGCAGGAAGGAAAGTGAGCTTTGATTTCGAAATGTCAAATCTGAACAGAAGAGGTATGCCAAAAGCTTCCACTGAGGATCTAACATGCATTAAAGATTTTTCTTATTAAGATTTTCACCACTACTAGGTGTTCCTCATGTAAACCCCTACACCGCATGCACTGGGGGTTCGCTAAGAAAATATTTTTCTCACTTGTACAAATAATTAAAGAACTAAGGAACAAACAGGTAAATAAAATCCACCACAAGAATCGCTCCCTCCGTTATCTCACTTCGATTGAATAAAATCCCCGATAAGAATCCCTCCCTCCCTAGGAGGTAGAGTTTGTTAGCAGTGAATCGCACCTTGATGACTCACCCACACCACCACAAATGTGTCCATGTCTCATCAATCTTCTAAATATGCATGCCTAGAATCTGAAAGTCAGAAGCAAATGCTTCTAGAAAAAAGTAAAAACATTCTGAACCAACTTATTGACACCTGTGATTATTTACCTGATCAATCTTGCAGCCAGAAGCATCAATTACCTTCAACACATCATTTATCAAGTTGATGTTTCCCAACTTCAGAAAGGTAGTTGAAAACTTTTTAACAGCAGGCTTAGAAATCAACCCTGCATTGTCCTGAACATTGAAAAAAAAAAAATGCTTCAACAAAAAAGTTGTGAGTTACGCAAGGAAGAAAGGTATCTTCAAAACTATATAGCTAACCTTGACTACTACATAAGCATCTTTGAGAAGCTGTCCTGCCAGTAGAATGTGCAGAATCTTCTCATGAAGGGCCTTGCACATTGTCCTCTTGCTATATCTCAGAATATTGTAAACAGAATATGCCTCTGAATATGCTCTTATCTTACCAAGAAGAAACATTAAGGAGGAACAAAGTTCCTGAAATACAGCATAGTGTTATTTTGAAGTTGGTTTACCAATTTTTATCACAAGATACCACTATTTCAAAACTAGGAGTTCTTGCATGTATGCATATGTAAAGAATATACTTGTGGACAAGGAGCAGAACAGTGATAAACCCTAAGCCCAAAACAAGAGAAGAATAGAAATATTGTAAAGCCCAAATCCAAGGGCTAAACCCTAAGCCTTAAACTGCAACTTTACACTTAAAAAGTAATAAACCATGTGGGGACAGAACTAAAATACTTACAAAAAACATAGACATAAATTTGGGCCGTGGCACAAACAGCACCCTCCTAAGAATTATTTTATTTATATATACACACATATATATGTCCACTTCTGATCTCCTACTCACCCGTGAGAAGACAATTCATGCTCACTAGCCAAAGATCAAAATCTAAAAGATCATATTCAATCCCCATAGCGTAGCATCTTATTGAATTTGGATCTAACTGTCAATGAGCATGTTGGCAACATTAGGTAATATACCATATATGCTACCTTTAATGGCTCAAGAGTATCACCTGGAAGGCAAAATGAAGCTAAAAAGGTATTAATTATATCACTGACCCCCATCCCCAACCCAAGACTCAAGCATCATGTTTAAAGAACCCTAATCAAACCCAAACTTTCACAAACTAATAAAATGATAAGCATAAAAGTAACATAAGGCAAAAAAATAATAATAATCTATGTGGTCCCCATCAGATACTCCTGCTCGCAAATAGATTCTCTCATTAATTGGATTAAAAATCATCCGGCGCACTAGTTGCAAACATTTACACTTGTAATATTCAGTGTTCAAATAAAACAACAACTATAACTAAGATCCAAAGTCCTGCATCTTTCATATATAGAAGCTCCAACAGCTAGGGTTCCCTACTTTTTTTACTTTTTTTCTCAGAGATCTCTTCTTTTTCTTCGGTCTATTAAAGGCCTGATGCGCCAATGCAAAAGACGATATAAGAGTAGTGCTCACCAATCCCATCAAATCCCCATCCCTTTTAAGGTTTCAATCTCAAGTCCTTAGCAATGCCAAGGGACTTTATCAACTAGCACTTCTCTGAAAGATCAATTCCTACAGTCGTAGTAATGTTCAAATCTAGAAGCTGGTTCTTTGTTTTATTTCCTTTATTTGAGATCAAGAAAGTAAAATAGTTCAACAAGTATAATCAGGAATATGCATCTTGAAAGAACATTTTACCTCATCTGGTTGGTGTCCCTTGTTGTGCATGTCCTCCATGGTCTGATAAGCAAGCAGGTATAACTTCTCCTTAC